GATTTTCATATTTAGGTGTATATACTACCACTAATGAACTTTGTGTATGTTGTAAATTGGGGGGAAAACTCATTTTTCCAGTACCGTTCATTTTGTTACAGCACCATTTATTGAGCAAACCATCCTTTCCTCCACTGAATTGTAGTTGTTCCTTTTTTGTAAATGAAGTGATTGTAATGTTTGAATTTCTTTCTTGACTATTTTTTAAAATTTTTATTCTTGTATATTTCTCATTTTCCTTGAGTAAGTCTTTGAAAACTTTGTGGGAAGTTCAGTTCTGGTGGTTTAATACCTCCACATTTGTTCTTCTTGATAATTATCTTGATTACTTTAGGCCCTTTGCATTTCCATGCCAATTTTAGAATCAGCTCAACAATTATCACAGAAAATGTCCACTGTGATTTTAAAGGTGATTACAAATCCTCAAAGGTAATATATCTCGTCATTTATTTAGATTTTTGTCTCAGCAATAATACAAAGTTTTCAGTTTAAACGTCTTGTACAACTTTGTTAGAGCTATTGCAAGGTAATTGGGTTTTTTTCCCCTTGATAGTATTATAAATGGTATTTAACTTCATCTTCAAATTGCTTATTAGTAGTATATACAAATACAATTATTTTTTCTATATTGACTCCATATCCAGGAACCTTGATAAATTCACTTATTAACTCTAATAATTTGCTTGTATGTTATTTTGGATTTCTTTATATATACATATAATTACATTGCCTGCTTGTAAAGAGAGTTTTACTCTTCCCCCAAGGTTTATTTAGATAAAATTGACATATAGCATTGTGTAAGTTCAAGGTGTACAATGTGTTGGTTTGATATACTTGTGAAATGATTATCACTGTAATATCAGCTAACACCTCCAGAACATAATTACCATTTCTTTTTTGTGTTGAGAACATTTAAGATCTACTCTTTAAGCAACTTTCAAGTATATAATGTAGTATTGTTACTTCTTATTTTCCAATTTTTATAAGCTTTATTTCTTTTTCTTGCCTCATTTCAGTGGTTAAAACTTCAAGTACTATATTGGATATTAGTGATAATCATTGGTAATTATATTTTGCTTGTGACCTCAGGAAGGAAATGTTCAATATTTCATCATTAAACGTGATGCTACCTGAAGGCTGTTCCCATCCTCCTATCTATTTCTAGTTTGCTGAAAGGTTTCTTTTGTTTCTTCTTTTTAATGATGTACTGAATTTATTATTAAAGTATTTCTCCATGTCTATTGATATTACCTTCTAATTTTCCTCCTCCGAATGTTAACATACCAAAATAAATTGATTTTCAAATTCCTGTTCTTTTAAAATAAACTCCATTTGGTAATGATGCATTACCTTTTTAATATGTCACTGATTTAGTTATTCTATTTCAGTATAATTTCATCTATATTTATGATAGATCTTAGCCTGTAATTTTATTTTCTTGTAACATACCTATCAGACTTTTAAGTATTTGAGTATGCTGATTTCATAAAAATAGTTGGGAATTTGAGTTTGGGCAAGAACAATATCACCAAATATCTACCTTAAATATTTGAAGTGATTTATAAGCCATCTGGGCTTGAAGATATCTTTGAATAAAGACTTATAGTTACACATTAATTATCTTTAATAACCATAAAAATACTTCAGATTTATTTATGGCTTACTAATTTTATTAATCTTTCAAACTTAGAATTATTGATTTTCTCTATTGTATGTCTGCTTTCTGTTTTATGTATTTCTGCCCTTACCTTTATAATTTCCTTCCTTATATATTTTAAGGTTTAATTTGCTGTTCTTTCTATAACTTTTTGAGTTGGAAGCTTACTTTGTTGATATCAAATATTTTTATCTTTTTTGACATATACATCTAAAACTATAAATTACTCTCTGATCACTGCCTTAAATGCGTCTCACAATTTGACTTGTTAATTTTCATTTTCATGCTGTTCAAAAGTTTTCCTAAAGTAATTTCTTACTTGACTCATGTGTTTAGAAATATGTTGTCTAATTTCCAAACATTTGGGAAACTTTAAGTTATCATTCTGTTGTTAATTTCTAGTTTAATTATAATTACACTCTGTGTTACAGAGTGTAGTCAACTTAGGTAAATATTTTATGTGTGCTTTAAAAGAATTTGAATCATGCCGTTTTGGGCTACAATTTTCTCTATTTGTTAATTAGATCATTTAGCTAATAAAATTGTTCAAACTTCTTATATTCTTACTGTTTTTTTTTTCCCTGTCTGATGGTTATATCAGTTAGTGAGAATGGCATGTTAAAGTCTCCAATGATAAGAATGGATTTAAAGTTCTATCAATTTTGCTTTACAAATTTTGAAACTATATTTATAGGTACACAAAAATTTAGGATTGTTACACTCCTCTGTTGAATTGATCTTTTAGCTTATGAAATGTACTTGTCTTACATTTCTTTCCTTAAAGTCTATATTGTTTGACATTAATATAGTTATAAGCAGTTTTTTCTTGTTACTCTTTTCATGGTATATTTCCCTGTTCTTTACATTTAATGTGTGTGTCTTATAAGTAGCATATAGTGGGTATTCTTTTATTATCTAGTCTGACCATCTTTGCTTTCAATCATAGTATTAAGTCTACTTCATTTAATAAAATTACTGGTAGAGTTGGTTAAAGTTCATAGTGCTGTTACTTGTTTTCCATCTGTTCTATTTTTGTTCTTTTCTTCTTAACATTATGTCATAGTAAGTCCCATGTTTCTACATTGACTTTATACATTTTTTTCTAATGGCTCCATCATAGCTCATTGTTTTCATGTTTCACATCTTACTGAACCATTATCTGTCATTTGGTTCTTCCAACAACTTTGCTATAGATAACATTGCACTGGACATCTGTGTATATATATATATCACTTTCTACTTCATGTATTATTATCCTTAGTGTATATTTCTGGCATGGAATTACTGATTCAAGAGAAAGAAACATCTATATAATTCTTGATATCATTTGTTACCTCACTTTCCCTAAAGAATTATTCTAATTTACAAAGGTTATAACATCTATATAATTCTTGATATCATTTGTTACCTCACTTTCCCTAAAGAATTATTCTAATTTACAAAGGTTATTAGCAGTATGTAACTGTAGTGATTTAACAGTAGTCTTGCTAGCAAGACTACTCTTTTAATAAAATTCCTCTTTTAATAAAAAAAAATTGTTGTATAGAGAAGAACTTAAGGGGGACCAGATTTATGATTAGCAATGCCATTTCTCTGTGCAAGTAACACAAATAAAAAAGTAAGTCATTTACAAAGTATTCATTTCAGCTACAAGCAGGACTAAAATTCCAAACTGCTCTCTTCTGTTGTGCATGCTTGGACTGTGGCAATAAGCCCCTGTGAGTAACTGAGTAAAAGAATGCATATTTATAACATAATATTTGAGTTGGCATATACATTTTATTTGAGCCTAATAAAACTATAATTCCATTCACAAAACCAGCACAGGTTTATAGAGTCAGAGGGAAGATCAGAAAAGAAAAAGAAGACCTAACTGAAAATATGCTTAAAAGCAGAGTGGACACATTTTTCTAAGTTACGTTTAAATCTTTAAAAAATCTGAATAACCTCAAAATAGAGTGGCTGCATCACTAAACTTAATTTTTTTCCCAGGTGGGTAACGTTGAGCACTGGAAAGGAACTCTTAAAATTGTAATTACTTTGCAGAGCACTTAAGGAGACATTATCTCATTTGAGCACAAGTACCCTGTAAGGCATGTATTTCTAATTGTTTTGTCAAAGAGTAAACTGGGATTCCCTAGAGGTGAAATTATTTACTTAAGGTCACACAGCTAATAACTAGTAGAGCAGTGACTCAAACTTAAATCTTTGCTTCTTAAACCTGTGACCTTTCCTCTCCATTTAAGGATTTACTTTCAACAACTGTTATTAAAATCTTAATCTACTACAGTTACTTATTAGAAAAAACTAATGAAAATGACCATATTGAAGAGGAAAACTTTTTCAAAAAATTAACCCAATAGGCTTATTGTAACAAGATCTAAACTGGCATAAAATTCAAGAGAGTGCATCATTGAAAAGTACTAGAGAAACACAGTAAAAACGCATTTTATTGTCATTACACCTCTGTGATCTGAACACAGGGACTCAGAGTAATAAAACACACACACACACACAAACAACAGAACCAATATAACTGTGTGGTAATGATGTTCACAATCAGCTTCTCTCTGGGTTTTCCAAATACACTAAAAATCTAGTTTTTGAAATACAAAAAAGCAATTCTCTGAAACTTTGTTGTAGAAGATGGAAACTAAAAATTGGCTTTAAATAAACACATCTACTGTTTTAAGCTATTTGTTTTCTCCTAAAACCATATCTCAAGTCTTAATTCATGACAAATATTAACTAAGCTACTGCTAAAGGTTGAGTTATTTAGGCATTTCAGAGTACTCAGTGTAAATACATATAAGCTCTGTTTTGAAAATGTTTCATGTCCACAGATTATCTCTTAATTCACATCATCCTGCTGTTTTAAAAAGCAGTGTACCTATTTATACTTTCAGTCCTTGTCAGTCATATTATGATAAACAAAGCTGAATTTGAATAGAGCTAGATAAATGTGTGGATCATATCTGAGATTATTTTTTCATCTTCCTCCAGTAAATTCATATGAACAATTATTTTAAAAAATCTTACACCTAAATACAGTAAATCTGGTCCAAAACATGAGGTAGTTTATAAAAAACCAGAGATGTATTTAGAACCAAATCAGTCTGCCCTCTTGTCTAATGTTTCAGTTCCATATGCCAGGGCAGCAAAATGAGTCTTTCTTTTTTTATTATATCAGCTGACAGCTGTAAGCAATCAGCCTGATTCAACCAGCTGAAACCAGATTTGTCTCCCAAACAACACCCCGGTATCTAAAGTTTGTGTTTCTTGGAACAAAAGGTTATGTTTATGTGAAAAAAGAAAAATAGAGCCATATTTTATTTTTCTCCAGGAGGTGTTTGGTTACCGGACCCAGAATCTACGTAGAGCCCTGTGCTTTATAATATCTGCACTGACCTGTGGGGTCCTTCTGCTGGTGTTCTACTGGAAGCCCCAGTGGAGAGTGTGGGCCAGCTGCATCCCATGCCACTTGCAAGAAGCAGACACTGTATTGTTAAGGACGACGGTGCGTGCCCTGCTGTGTCATAGCTGTGGTACAGTCAATGACTGGCCAGCATTCAGAATCAATGTTCAGCTATTTAAAAGTTCCCCTGTCCTCAAATAGGAGATGGCAAAACTATCCCTACAATCTACTTGCCATGTCTTAATTTTGACCCAGAAGTGAAGCACATTTCCTCCATTTTAACCCCAGGGAAATTTCTACCATATCAGGTTAATTGTCACTGCTCTCAGCCAGGACATGAGCAGTCTCTCAGTGTCCTAACTCTTAAAGAGTAACATGGGAATAATCATTCAGTTTCTCAAAAATATGTATTTTGAGGGAAATTAGACAATTTAAACATCTAGGTGTCATTTTAAGATATTCAGAAACTATTTGCTAGATACAAAACTTTCCTGCAAAGTGTATCTTTGTCTTTATCTTCTGGCACAGTGATTCTCAAATTTTAGTGCAAATCAGAATTACCTGGAAGGCTCTTTAAAACACAAACTGTTGGCCCCACCCCAGAATTTCTGATTCAGTAGGTTTGGGGGTGGGGCTGAGAATTTGTATTTCTAGCAAGTTCTAAGACAATGTTGATGTTCTTGTCTGCAGCCCAAACTGGAAGCACTGGTCTAGCACTTGGTAGGCATTTAGTTGATTGTGAGCCTTACTGAATAACGTTTGAGAATTTCACAGGCTGGATTGTGTTCTCTAGGATGAATTCCAAAGATACATGAGGAAGAAGGTGATCAGCCTCTACTTACGCACACTGAAGTTTCCTATAAGCAAGAACCCGGAAGAACCACTGGTGGCTGACCGCCACTCTGTCATAAACCAAGCTGTATTGAAGCCAGAATTAAAAGTAAGTGATTTTAAGAGTGCAGTGTTTTTGGCTGTTCTTGCTAAGAAAGAACAAAGTTCTGAATATCACACTGCTGGGCTGGGATTTACAACTATTTATCAAGAAAAGTGAGAGCCGCATGGGAACCTATATTAAGCACTCCTCATCTCCCCAGATGGGCTTTTTTTGGGAATAACATCTGTTCTGTCACATTTGTAATTGTAGCTACGATGTATCCGAGTGCAGAAAATCAGGTATGTTTGGAACAACTTGGAGAAGAAATTTCAGAAAGTTGGGTAAGTCCAACTTTTCCTCAGCACTCTTCAGGATGTAAGGAAGAAGAACACTGACTTGTTGATACTGTGAACTAAAGTGTGTTTCCTGTCTGACCACAGGTCGCTGGAAGACAGCAACTCCTGCTATGACATCCATCGTACATTTGGACTGGGTCTGACCAGTGAAGAACAAGAGGTCAGGTAGGCTTTGTGCTCCCAGAGAGGAAACTCTGCCAGCTGAAACTGAAATATCAAAGCACTGATATCAGCAAGGTGTTGACATGATGTTTCATCAACTTCATATAATCTCATTCATTTACCAGCATCAGAGAGATGCTATAAATTGTTTTCATCTTAGGCAAACTTATTAAAAAGAAAAGACTAAAAGAACAACTCAATCAAAAAACATTTGATATTTTCTCTTAGGATTCTATAACGGTCTGTGTTATCTTTTTTTCATTCTTTTCTTAAAAAATCATGAGTCATCTTGGAAATGTCACCTTCTTAAACCTCCAGATCTTCTGTGAGAGAAAGACAGTATCCTGATTGTGTTTTCGTATGGGAAGCAGTCCTGGAGATGATGACTTTGTTTGCCCAGTTAGCTGTGTTGTTCACCACTGTATTTACGACACCTAGAACAATGCCCGAGTCATGGTAGAAGCTCAATAGGTATTTGTGGAATGAATGAATAAATGAAGGCATTCTTTGATCTATTAACTAAATGCCTTTAATATGTCAGGCACTTTGCAAGGCACTAGGGAGCTAAGGATAAATAAGACTTGGTCATTGTCCCAGATGCTCACTGACTAGTGGGAAAGAGAGACAACAGGGCACAATCATGAGAATGATACCTAAAGATGTACAGAGATTAGACAATAGCAGCATAATGATAGCATAGGAAATGTGTATGCTACTCAGTAAGTCTCAGTGACCCAGATGCCCTGCTTCCCTCACCTGTAATTTGAAATAGTGAATACTGATGAATCTGAAAGTAAACCATGGCAAGCCTTCCCCAGAATCTTAATAATCACCTTAATTTCTTACCCAATTTTAGGAACACTACCTGCCTCACCTTCTTTACAGTCTATTTAAAACATGAATTCTCAAACTAAGAAGCAATCTGGTACTTAAAGTACAGGTTCCTGGACTCTGCCCCTTCATGCATTAGTGGGTAGGAGCTACGGGTAAGGGTGTGAGAAGAAACATGCATATTTAGCAAGCACCTCCACAATCCATATCATATGTATATCACATCTGAAAATTATTGAACTGTTGTTTTTAAGTTCTCCCCCTGCCTGAACACTATGCAAAACAACCAAGTATCCACACTATAACAATATTGCAAGATGCCTTAGAAATGGTATCATTATGTAAGATTTCAGATGCAATGCTTACTGCACTGAAAAAATAAAAAGTCCTCAAAGTCATTAAAAACATATTGGTTTACTAACAGTAAGCATAAGACATTTAAAGGATTGATCGACTTAGGAAATCTGGTTGATAAATATAGATATACTCTCCCTGAGAAACTATTTTCACAGGGAAGGTGTCCCATCAGTGTAGCTACCTCACATTTGTCCTTGTTTATCAAGTGCCTAGCTTTAATAAACATCATACAGAATTAAATTTAAACCCAGTCCACACAGTAAAGAACTTGACAATCTAATAAGCAAGATGAAGAGTATAGTTTCCCAAATATGAAGAGTAGAGGAGATAATCTACTTGTAAACACATAGGTATATTTTATTTTGTAGGCTTTTCTATCTGGAGGGTAAAGAGAATAAGCAGAATGTGGAGTATTCCTGCCGGTCCCCCACAAGTATCTCTCTTCCTTTTTTAGTGTAAGACTAAGGCCTTTTCTCAAAAACTAAATGATTGATGGATCGGTTGAGTGAAATCAATTTCCTAAATGTATTTGAGCTTGCTTGTGTGCGAAGCTAGGATACCATATGAGAAATAAAGGATGGGGGTGGGGTGGGGGCGGTGCATAAATAGCTCAGATAAGGAGAAGCCACAGACTCTAAATGCAACCTTCTCTTTTGGCTTCGGAGCAGCCAGACAAAGAGGGGAAATGAAGAGATTTACATAGTTCTCACTTTTCAGTAGCAAAAAAAGCTAATCAGGACATCAGGAGAGTAACTTAAACACAGAGAGAATTGTCAGAGGGCTTTATGAAGAAAGCAGGGGAATTATTCCAGGAGATTCCTTGTTCCCGTCTTCACTCATTCATGATCTGAATGCATCTTTCCATGTTAGAACCTGTCCTTGACAGGTCCACAGACACTTTTCATAGTTCTCTTCTCTCATGGAAACAGAGCCTATGAAAAAAACACAGCTACCTCATCTTCCATCTGTCCAAGTTGTCTTCTTATTAGGTTTTAAGTCGAGTGTCTCTTTAGCTTCTCACTCATCCCACCATGCTCCTGCCTCCCTGGTTTAGCTTGAGAAGAGAAGGGAAACTTCCTGGCAGTAGAGATAGCAAGCATCTCTTACCTGGGGGTCAGCTCCAGACCCATCACCTTATGGGTAACCCCACTCTCTGGAAGAAGAAAAAGACTTTGATGGGTAGAGTTTGCCAAATCCTATAATGGGAATGCTCCAACCAAGACTGATTTCAAGACATCAGTGTGACGTCACTGAACCTGGAACTGGGAAGAGATGCTCACAATTGGCTCAGTGATACTGCAGGGCCAGACTGTGTTAGCATTTGTCACACCACTGAGAAAAAGGGCATGTCTGATAGTACTGGAGGAAAGGAATCCAAGTGACGGGCAGCAAAAGAGGGCAGGTTGGTCATCAGTGCTCAGCTCCAAGCTCATAGAGGCTGTCTAGGAGAAGAGAGCCTATCAGGAAAGAGAAAGAAAAACAAGAAGGAGGCAGGAGATGATAGAGAGATTAGGGCCCCCATGAGACTCTACTCTCTTACTGTTCACATCTGGTGAGAAGCAAAGGTCAGAAAAGAAATCGTACTTCTATACCATGACCTTGATCTTGAAAGCTCCATGCTAGAAAACAGCCCAATTGTAGATGCTTTCCCATCAGATAGATGCTTTATGAATCAACAGGGAAGGATTGGTTGGAGTAGAGGAGAGAGTCTTTACTCATTCTGCTGGAGGCTCATAAAACTGTCTCAAATTTAGAAGTGAGTAAGTTACTTAAAAATATAACCCACAGTTCAGTGGGTCTGGGTCCATTAAAAGAACAAAATTATTTAACTCTAAAGCCTTGGTTCAGAGCAAAGCCCTATGGCAGCATCAGTAAGCCTACATCCTGGGTCTTCCTGGCAAGATCCTGCCTGGCATTTCTCCTCCTCCACCTCTACCCAGATGTCCTCCTGGTCCTCTGCCTTCTGGATCCTCCAGCATGAAATATTCTGGGCACTTCCCCCAAAAAGCTGACTGGAAGTGTCTCATGAAACTTACATATAGGGCATGAAATCCTGTAAGAACCTGACTTTCTCTCAGACCATCTGGAAATGTGCTTGAAGGAATGAGAGAAATAGAGCAGTCACAGATGAGGACTAAATGTGAAACACAAATGACTTTCACGTCATTTATAAAATGAAGCTTCTCTGTATAAACGGCTCATTAAAGTATAGAGGCAGGTTTAAGGACTGCTAGAGATTTTTTTCCCCTGGAAAGCAATTTCTCAAAACATGCCAATCTTTTCATTATTATTCTTTTAATGGGAGGGTTCTAAGACCAACATCGCTGTTCTACTATATGACCATACCCAAATCCCAGCGATCGGATGCCATTTCTATTCGTCTGTTAATTTCTTAGGTCTCCTTTCCTGTATAGAGCAGGAGTGTTAGGGGGGTGCAGGAATGGCTTGCAGCGTCACCTGGGAACTACTTCAGACTCTATAAGCCTGTTTCCTAAAAATCCCCAGGTTCCCGGAGGTGGATCATGCAGGGTCCCCTGGCTCAGCATTGACTGTCTGGGAAACTGAAGGTCTCCCATCCTCTGTTGACGGCTTATCAAATGGAAGCCGAGTGGCCATGTGTAGTCTGAAAAAGTGATTCTGGCATGGTCCTCTTGTCCCCTGGAGAACCCCCTGGAGCCTACTCTTCACCACCTGGAGCCTAAAGGGCCTGGCACACAACATGTTCTCATGAATAAATTGATAAATGAATGAATTAACAAGTAGTCAAACTGAAAAGGGACATAGACCATCCAAAAGAAAGTATTGCTAGTCATTCATCTTTGTTTTTCAAAAATAAATACATTCCATCAGATTGACTAACACCGCCCGGTGTCAGGAGCCCTCAGTGCTCCTTCACGTGCAGCTCGTAGGCAGTGCAGAATTGCTCTCTGCAATTTCCCTGTTATTAAGAAATTCTTTAATCTTCTTTGGAGAGGGACATTCTACCTCCAAAGCAATTATTCCTCTAATAGATAGTTCTGAATATTAGGCAAGTCTATTTCATTTTATTCAGCCTAATTAGTTCTGTGAGACCCCCTGGAATAATTTTAGGGCCTCTTTTCCCTGTCAGCTGGTCAGATTTTCAGTCAGAGCAATGTAATCTCCTTTGTTCCTGGGAACTTTTCTCATGACCCAGCATCAAGCCTCATATTCCTTCTGGTTGCTCAGTCACTGGGCAATGTCCCTAAAAATTCTGCTTGGTTTGTGCCGAGACTGAGATGGGGAGACGATCCCTAAACAGAACATGATTCTGGTAGGAGATAGCAGAAAAGGTGCAGCAGCCAGGTGCATACCAGGCTGTGAGTCGAGCAGGGCCCAGATGAGCCCTAACTAGGAAAATCCACCAGGAGGTATTAATCCAGCAGACGTCAGTTCCCATGGGAGCTGAGCTCCTCTCCCTTTAACAGTGACATCAGAAACCATCTCACCAGACCTGAATGACAAAGCATGGGGTCCGGAGCCTGTTCCTCTCTGAACTGACTGGCCCCAGCCTGTGTGCTGCCATGGTTTGTAAACCAGGGAGAGAGTACTGTAGACAGGGTCACAAGGGTCCTCATTAGTTAATTCCAGTATTTAAGGACGTTACCTGTCTCAGACCCCATACCTTTACATGGCAGAAAAACAGAGGTGAAAACCTTCCATCCCTACCATTAAAGAGGGACTAGGAAATTTTTGGAGAAAGGCATATAACTAACTATACGTTACAATTCTAAGGGACACAGCCTGTTACTAAGAAAAGAAGGGATATTGGAGGAGAGGAAATTACAGTTAATTGCGCCTGTGGGAACAGGGAAGATTTCCAAGATAGCTGCCATTCATCGAGAACTTGTCACATCCCAGGCACTTGTGCTAAATGCTTTCCGTGTTTATAGCATCTGCTACTGATAGTAATTTTATTAGGCTTGTATTATCAAACCCATTTTATAGATAAGGAAACTGAGGCTCACCCCTCATTCACCCACTCACTCATTCAACAAATAATTCTTGAGTGCATTTTACATATTTGGCCCTGTTTTAGGCATTCACAATAGATCAACATCCTATTAGAGTGGAGGATACAGTCTTTTATTTGCATGTTGATTCTTGAGTTATATTATACTTAAGATTTTTTTTTAACCAGAAAAACAACTTTGTCCATCATGCACTAATTTTCATTTTTAAAATACATTACTGTTTGAGAATTTGTGCATTAATTTTTGATTGAAGGCACAAAGTCCTTGAAGCATAGAGAAATGACTTCTGTTTAGTTTGGCCTGTACTCACTTATCAATGAGCTTGTAGGTGTAATACTAATAGAATATCAATCTCCTTCAGGAGATTAGTGTGCGGGCCCAATGCCATTGAGGTTGAAATCCTACCCATCTGGAAGCTGCTTGTTAAACAGGTAACTGTTTTCATTTATTTTTGAAAAAAAAATTTCTGTCCTTTATTTTTAACCTCCTAGAATTCAGGTAAATCTGGATAGTTTGGTGTGAACAAAATCTGTGTTCCATGCAACTTCTTTCTGTTACTCCTATTGTCTTTTAGTCTATGTTTTTCTTGTGTACTGAGATTTAAAAAAAATATTTCAATAAAAATATCTTTTTTATTTCAGCATCTCTAACTGATCCTTTTCAATAACCACTTGTTTTAAATTCAAATCCACTTTAAAAATCTCTTTCCAGTGTGAGGGACAGATTCCTGTTTCCTAATCTGTTTAGTTTGTTTTCTTAAATTTTTGATGGTTATCGCTGTAGTTGGGGCGGGTATTGTTATTACTTCTATGATCTTTTTGAAGATTGTAAATACATTATTTTGGTCTCTTCCATATTGCCCTATTACATCCGTTTTCTCAAGAATGACTTCTTTTGTTAGTGGGATCTTTTTAGAATGTTTTCTTTGTGTGCTTTGAAGCTATCATTATTATTATTTGTAAGCTCACCTTAAATGGGACCTTAACCCCACTTCCATTTTCCTCTTTCTCTCTGCGCTCATTCTCCCTCCTTGATGGCTCCAAGTTTTCCACTTATGGTCCCCAGGGATTCCCTGTTCAGAACCAGGGCCTTTATGGGAGGTGTGGGCTCTGTCCCTCTGGGATCTTAGACACAGGCCCTGAGCCAGCTTGGCATTTGACCAAGTTCACGTTTGTACCATGAGCTCAGTTCTATCTTATTCCACCTCTGCTGGTGAACCACCCCTGGGGGTGACTTTCCTCAGCCTCCACTCGGGGGCAGGGAAAGCCCACTGCTACTGCTGTTTCCTTCAGCAAGCTTGATTTGTCCTCTGTCAGGGTGGGGCACCTTCTGTCTTAACTCCCCCAGCACTGAGCTCCTGGCCTTCACTCTTAGTCCTTGTATGAAACCCAGCAGGCTGATTGAATGAGTCCCCACTCAGTGCTGCATGTTTTACTAGACAATTTTTAGAGCATTTTAGTTTCACAGCAAAATGGACTGAAATACCCCATACAACCCATGCCCCCACATATGTACAGTCCCTCCTCCCCATAAGCAGGCTGCTTTTTAAACTTCTTATTCAAGAACATTTTCAAATTGCCAAAGACTTTCCCAAGTGTCAATTTGGTCTATTTTGAAAAGAGTGCTAGTATTTTCTGGCACCCATTTACTAGGCCTATAGTAGAAAAAAAAGCAAGTAAAATTAGTTCTTCACATTTGGTTTTAAAAGGATATTGAATAAGGGAGCTAGATTAATTATGGTAGTGCTGTTTTTTCTACAAGAAGTATTTAACTAATTTTCTACTGAGTTCCTATAAACTCAAAATTGTATTACCATTAGTGCATAATCTACAATTGGAGCATTTTGTGCCAAGAAGACAGAAGAGCTATAATTTATAAGAAAAGCATGTTGCAACTGAAATAACAAAAAATGTAAAGGAACAAAAGTGTTTTTAATGTACAAAATATAGCCAAGGGTCTAATACAGCCTATTAACTTACAAACTGGATGTCAGTTCATTTTTAGGACTAAAGTAAGTTTATTTAACATATTGGGGAATTATAGAAAGGAGAGGTAAGAAACAGTGACACTGGTTTTAGGCAACATTTCCTCTAATTTGTAATAATCATAAAGAGCACTTCACGAAGCAATAATTCTTGCTCTGCTCAGGAGAGCTCTGTAAATCACGCAGTGTGCGTATGTCATCCCACTGGCCATCTCTGCTGTCATTATTAATGTGGAGTCAGCAGGACCAAGATGGGGACAGTTAAGGAAAAACAAAAGTTGAAGGTACTATCAAGTGGCCAAAAATACCTGCATGGGTGACCTGTTTTGGAGCTAGTGATACATTGTGCCACAATTTTCATGTCAGACAGTTTGGGGTGAGCCCTTTTTCTTCTTTGGGTTAGACTGGCCCTCCTTGGTCAGGTAAAGGCCCACACTTGACTGGCTCTCAGAGCATCTTGCTAACAACCATGACATGAAGAGAATGTTATTTTTAAATGACTTGGTAAAAGTAGAATCTTTATCCATTGCTCAACTTGACTAAATCTGCAGCATGTGATTATGTGAAGAAGAAACTGCAATAAAACATTCAACCAACGTAATACTGTACTTCAACTCCTTTCCAATGAAAAAAATGAAAAACAAATAAATAAATGATAGGGGAAAAAGTTCAAAATTGAAGTTTGTTTTAAAAAGACACTGAATCATGTTTTTTCTCCATTATGGATAAATCTAAGGAAAATTCTTAAGTTTTATTACTGGTCAAATATTTTTGAACAATCAAAAATAAATAAGAACAATCAATTTGTGGACTCTGAGTGCTTAACATAATTTTGCTTCCACCATATCACATTCTATATGCTTGACATTGTCTCCACCAAAATTTAATTGAGTTCTAAGTGAATTCTTAAATATTAAAAGATATTGTGTGTTTTAAAGATTGGGGAAAAAACATTCTACAAAGAAATTACAGCATCTTCATTACCTTAAAGGTCCATGCAAATGACCAAATGTTCTTTTTGTACCTGCAGGTTTTAAATCCATTCTATGTATTCCAAGCCTTTACCCTGACTTTGTGGCTGTCTCAAGGTTACATAGAATACTCTGTGGCCATCATCATCTTGTCTGTTATCTCCATTATCTTAAGTGTGTATGATTTGCGACAGGTAAGATCTGACATCCCATTTGGGTTCTATTTAGTTTCTGGCTATACAGGCAGCCAAACCTATGGAATTTCCACCAAGAGCAGAGTTGCTTTGTTAAACATAGGTCATAAAGCCAAAAACAAGGGCTTACTAAACATGGGATCTCAGGAGGAGGGATGTAGGAATATCAGGTAGATTTAAATCTTTGCAAACTCTGATTATTGACCAAAGTCTGCATTACATACTGTCACTGTACTTAGAAAGGCTCTGAAGCTGTGTGTGAGCACCGTGGGAAAGAACGCTGTGATGGATTAATGATGCCAACATAGGACCTTTCCCTCTTTCTGACCATCATCGTTCATTTTATAGCTACTTAAAATCTTCCTTTTTGAAAAAATCAGTTTAAAAATGATGTCACCACACATTCTCAAATGGAATTTAGCTGAATATTTCTTATAACTCCACAGCCCTTCCAAATCATCCTTCCAGAAAATGTTTTGCTGCTTTGCTTTAGTTTGTCAGACTGAATCATGAGGCAACCCTCATTTGTTGCATATTTTTGAAAACCTGACTGTGGAATTAGCTTTTCAGTCATGAAAGCCATGGTATTGTATCAGCCTGTTGACTCTCTTGAACTGTTGAAACAACCTGGTCTCAAACTTCATCCCTAAGAAACAGGGAGCTGGTTCCAGGGCCATAAAGTCAGTTTATGACAGTCAGGGCTTCTGGCCTCTGGTAAAATGAAATTCTACTGCATGTAAAACATTTTCTTAGCAAAAAGCTCTTTCCAAAGTACAGACATAGCTGGGGATGAAAGTCAAATGTAAGTGGGAGAGGAGACATGATTTCTAGCTGTCCCCAGAGTAAACTCTGGGCATGTGGCAGTGAGGCAGACGTGGACTGAAACAGCCTAACTGAAAAGAGACCTTTCATTCCAGCTCTATTTCAGCCACTCAACAAATATTAGGTCTAATATTGGCTATTTTAGTTGGGTTTAGATCCTACACATCTTGAGTTAGAAAGTGTTTTATGAGAAATGAAAGAAAGACAATATGTATTTAAAGAGAAAACAGGATCTAAAAATGAAAAGTTGGATAATTGGAGATACTTTGAGCAAGACAGGACTAGAAGGGCTTTGTTCTATTTATTTGTTTTTGTTTTTTGGGTTTTGGGTTTCCTGTTTTGTTTTGTTTTGTTTTTTAAATGAATGCCTGAATGTGTTTCTTCAGAACTAATTTAAATTTAAAAATGTAAACAATAATTAGTAGCTTGCTTTAATGGTGGCAGATCCTTACTATCTGGCTGCCCAGTCAGGAGCAAGAATGTGACTGACCCTTTGGTGAACGCTGGGCATTTGAGCAAAAGCAAGAAAATAGACGCCAGGACAATGAAAGGTCTGACGCATTCTGCTCAGCCACAGTGGGAAATTACAGTGTCCCAAACTTTGTCATTTGATAGAGGTATGTAACATGAAGCCCCCACATCTAATGTCCAGTTTCCGTTTTTTGACACATCTTTGCTTTAATAGACTAATTTGATGTCTGCAAGCCGCTCGTATGTTTTCTGGCTGAAGTCAAATGTCAATGACTACAGTCCTTCCTCCATGTGCTTCCTTCTGATGGGAGACACCTATGCCCAGTCAGTGACTGCCCCGTCATGCACCAGAGCAGCACCTGGGAAACCACAGGATGCTCTCAGGACTTCGGGCAGGCAGACCTTGTCTGGTCATGTTAAAATCTCTCCCTTACCACTCCTATTTGTGTTACTTGACACTATTTGTTACTCGACACTTCAATAATCGACTTCCCCTTCTGTGGTGTTGAAGGTGGGGAGCGGGGTATTCAGTGTTACAGTTGAGAGAATTAGGAGAAACAATGAGTTTGAAGTGCTATGTTCCTGCTACATAGTAGGCACTCACCAAACATTATCAATGAGTTGCTGTTGCTGTTTTTATTATTATTTCTAGAGTGGGGGAAGTAGGCAATGGAATGATGGGAGAGGGCACAGAGACTGAGGGGAGGAGCCCTGTAACTTGAACAAGGCAGAAGAAGGGGAACATCCCCAGACAGGGTTTCTAACAGCCACTGACTTATTCATTGTGTAACCCCCAGGACTCTCTTCTTCCTGGGTTCACTTTCCTCAGCTGCAAATTATGTTAAACTCAGTTGCTTTGGGTCCCACCATTATAGGACTCTATCATTTTGCCAGTGCCACCAATAAGGAATGAAAAAAAATTTCCTGAAAACTTTAAAACACTAGTAAGAAATTTTCTGGCCACTGGAAATCTGGGAGACTGTGCTGTAGACTGAAGCCAGTTGTTGTTGGGCCCTGCTAGGTGTTGGACTAATAATCCAAATAAACTATTCAGCCAAGAGGCATGCAAATAAAAGAACCCATTTAAACTACCTTAATCACAAATGGGATATATATACTATAATACACACCAGTAGCTCAAGGAACCCAGGGACATAAAGTACAGAGGCACTTTGCCAGGGGCTGGACCCAGGACCCTGGGTACTTTCTCCAGCCTCCTCTTCTCTGACAGATATGGAACAAATGAACATATATTTTAGGGCAAGTACTCCGTCTGCACTCCTCTACTCTGAGAATTGGGTGCACCTAGAGCCGTGGCAGCCTTCCCCTGGTTTGTTCCATATGGTCCCCTGTGCCCCGCCCACTGCCCAGCACATGTAGTGCAACAGGAGGCATCTGACCAGTAAAAGCCAGCCAACCCATCAGCAGGAGGGAGGCCAATGGATTTTGCCTTGGATTTTGGCATGAGTGCCTGAAGCTGCTGGTCGTACTCTGTTAGGAATGTGATCTGAGAAGTGATGTAGAGCTAGGCCCTTGATCCCTGTGTGTGGATAATCAGAGAAAAGCTTCTGCTGAGAAAGAGAGCAAGGTTGAACCAAATCCACAGTAGACACAGGTCAGCAACACGCAGTACAGCAAAGAGAGAGAGAGTAACCTCTTCCTCATAGCATTTCCTCTTTCTAGTCAGACCTCTTGGGAGACCTGGCTGCACTTTCCACCTTAGGTTCCTAAGACATCCCTGCATCATCATAAATTCTCATCTTCTGCCTAAACCAACCTAACCTAACAAGTTTCTGTTCCTTGTTATGTCCCCTAGAACGTTTACATTCTGCCTAATTGAAACATTGTCTTTGTTCTAGACGTTTCCCATCTATGTTTTTGACAAACTTCAGTCTCTTTTATAAAATTTTATAAAATTCCATTTCTTCATTTGGAACTCAGGTATACCCTTCTTTAAGGAAACTCCCTCAAATATAGAAATTCCTGTTGTAGATGGGTTGTAGAAAAAATTAGGTTTGATTCTACACTCTAGAGGGCAATGTTCAGTAAAAAGTTCATCAAAATTCCTGAGCTCGGGATCTATTAAATCAAAATATCCAGGTAATAACAGGAACCTGCATTATTAAGTTGCATAACAGGTGATTGTTATGCATTCTATATGCTTAAGAGTTATTGTTATAGGGGAATCCACCAAAGGGCAAATTCAAGCACTAAGACCCCAAATACATCTTTTTGTCATTTATTAAAGTCATCTTCAGCTGAACATATTGTTTCACTTTTTTTACTCTAAGGTGCACAGAAATACAAGTTTATATGGAGATTTACTTATGTATTTGTCTTATAAAACAGCTTCTTACTAAATACATTAATCTGGATCTTGCATTTCTCCCTTTACAATATATATAGTGGCCAAGTAATTGGATACCAAGTAAACAAATAATTCTAAATCATGCTTAAGAAGAAAGGTGTGACATTCCATAGTATACCATAATTAATTCAACCATTCTGTTTATGGAAAATAAAGGGTTTCTTCTCCAATTTTTGCCACCAGAGGATGTTTATATGTTGAAGTAAATGTAACTACATGCTAGGGTGTCTTTACTTATTATTGTTTGCTTTTTTTTCAAACAAAGCAACCAAAAGCCAAATTGCTGAATCAAAAGACATGTATATTTTGGGTATATTTAATAGATACTGCAATATTATTTTCCCCAAATGAAATAATTCACTCTCCTATCAGCACCTTATGAAAGTACCCATTTCCCTAGATCCTCACCAGCATTTGGTGTTGTATACTGATATTTAAAATTTTTCAACCTAAGATACTTTTTAAAAATTGTGTCCCACTGTTTTAATTTACATTTCCAATTACTGGTGAGATTAGATACATTTTCCTTTGACTACCGGAGATTAGCATCTTTCTCTGCTATTTACTGCCTCTTTCTATTCATGATGCATATGGAAAAGTTTTATTTTTTAGTCCACCTTTCTTCTCTTGACCTGAACTTTTGCCAGATATTAAAAATGTATCTAATCAAGTATGTTTCTCTTTTCTTTATGAGTTCTGAGTCTCCTGTTTGCTTATAAAGATCTTCTCTTTCAAAATTAGGTATTCTCTATTTTTTTGGACCTGTAATTTTCCTAATATGTATTTTAAAATCCTTAATGGAATTTAAACATTTAGGTTCTACATCTTAACAGAACCCCTAAGTGCCTGTGCTAAAAACAGTGACTGACATGGGAACTTAGACTTGATGGCAGTATTACGAAAGACTTCTTTAAAAAACAAAAAAGGCACTAATCCCATTAGCAGTTAGTATTTGTTAATAAAAGCTTATCTGACTCAACTCGGAAGGCAACCTGTACCACTATGCAAAACAGGCCAGTTTCCTAAACTCTGTCTTTTTAGTTTAAATCACAAATCCTCAACAATCAATATCTATTTAGTACTTTATAGTTTACAAAGGGCTTCCATAGTCCTAATGTAAGATTTGTGTGGCACATGGCAAACATCCGTAGGGTATGTGCACATCCCTAGTGAAAGTGGGACATGGCAAACTGGAAGAGGACACACATGTGACTGTCATGGCCTCACACCACCTGAGAAAGAGGATCAGGGCCAGCACGGGAGGTGAAGTGACTGGCTCACGCTCCCCCAGCAACAATGGCTCTGGACCTCAGCCCCAGGTTTCCTGGGGGTTTTCAAGTCATGTTGTTCTACTCAGCAAAACCTCCACATGACCCATGAGCTTCCTTGCAGCATTATTTGTTTTGATTAAACTATTGTTTGATAATTTTCTGACAGAAGATTTGGGGAAGGCGGTTGACAGCAATGGAAAAAGGAGCATCTACTGCCACCCCCAAATCATGCTGAACAAAAATACATGCTTTTTGAAAATTGTAAGAGGGGAGGTGTTGGCTGGAGTGAATGAGACATTTTCCTGCATCTACGCTAGCCCCAAATCATGCCACATAGAGCTGAGCTTTTCTAAGCCAAGAAACACCCAGTGCGGTCCCTTTCCTGCGAAGCTGGTGGAGCAGGGGTGCACACCTTGGCGCTCACCTATGCGGGCACCGAGCTGCATTGCGCACTCCACTGCTGGCTCCACCTGGGCATGGGAGCTGCTGGAAAGAGCGCTGAGAGTACCTGTCCCATCGCGCTTTGCCTTCGGTTGTGGCTGAGCTGGGCTCAAGAGACCCCTGAGTGAGTGCCCTCATCACTCACCTCTGGAGGAAATCCAGCCAGAGCAAACACAAGGACACGCAGCAACAGATGCTGAATAATAACAAAATGCAAATTAGTCTTGGAAACTGATCCTGGTCCCACTACACAGGGAGTGGGGAAACGAGAGGGGGCCTAATGAAAATCAGGCTGAGCTCTCAAGTCATGGCAACTAGCTGGCTGGTTGTCATAGAAACCTGTGTTTGTAGAGTTTCTGAGTACATTAGCTCAAAGAGGATGCTTATATTATCCTACTCCAGTGTGTTGGGAGAAGTAGAATAATTCCGTTCTATTAAATAAATATTTGCTGAGGGCCTACTATGTGATAGACGGCAGGGATACATAGGTGAATACAATACAGTCCCTTCCTTGAATGGCCTGACTCACAGGGGAGACGTGACAAGAAAGGTAGCTTAATGGAATGTGACCAGTGCTCTGATGCAGATGCAAACATGGAGAGCAGAATAATGAATTCTTCCTGGGAAAGTTAGGGGCTTATGGAGGGGAGGTGACATCTGAACAGGGCTTTATGTGAAGGATTAGAGTTTGGTAGTAGAAAACTGGGGTGAACATTCTGGGAAATAGCTTGAACAAAGGCATAGAAGTGTGGCAGGTTATGCGGAATGCTAAGTCCCATAAACAAACCCAGCTTTAGGCCATAATGAGCTTTGAGGATTTCAGTCAAGCCTTATTAACTCATCCTTCACCATTTCCAAATATGTTATCATCCTCTTAAGCTAAGTTGAAGTTATCATGGCATTGACTATAAGAGTTTGCCAAGCAAGAAAATAAAGACATCTATAAAGAAGTATGTTTATCTTCTTAAAGGAAAAAGGCTGCTTTCAAGCACTTTAGGAGAACATATTCGTCAGGAGAAAAGGCTTTAGTGTCAGACAAACGTGAGTTTGATTGTCAATCCTAATACTACGTAAATGATTGTAGGCAAGTTACTTTAACATTTTCAAGCCTTTTGTTTTGTTTTTGTTTTGTTATATGTACATGGGAGATGATAACATTTTCATCATAGTAGTATTTTGAGGATTAAAAAAAATCAAGCAGTATATTATTCCAAGTGCTTACAACAGTGCCTGGCACATAGTAGTTGCTTAATGTTCTAAACTGTTTAAAAACAATAATAATTTGAGTCAGTTATATACCCTGGGTATTTCTTCTATGATGCCTTGGTGGTTTTGAATAAACCTCTGATATGCAAAATAAATTAGTATCACACCATTTTAGAGTTTGCAAAGAACTTGAAAATTATCCAATTCGATGTCGTCTGTTTACAGAGGAAGTAATTAGTAAGGTGAAATTTCCTACATATCAGTGCATGGCTAGTTAGGGGGTAAGCCTGACCTGCAACTCACAAATCCTGATGGAATTCAGTGTTCTTGTCACAGACCACAGCAGACTTTCTTACTATTATCCATCATTAAAATGGATGCCTCAACAGGCAAGCTGTAGGAAACCAAATTAGGGCAATGAATATGTATCCAATAGTAATATCACTTCTTCTACTCAACTGGTCCAAATGATTGAAGTTTAGCTTTTCATGCACAACTGAAGTAAACAAAAAAATTGTTCTGTATAAATATCAACACTGAATTCATTATGTTCTCTCAAGAGGAAAGTTGCATAGTTGTGTGTAAAGCATGTCTTAGTGTGGTGACATTTGTAATATTAAAAGTCATCAATACAACAGATGAAAATAATTTTCCTTAACATCTAAAAGGAAAAGTTTTATATTGGAATTAGGTTTAGCTGTGTTCAAGTACTGGTGACAGTACTCAGATATCTTCTACGTAGAAGTATCCACGTAAGTGGCATCTCCGCAGAAAGGGGCAGTGCCTCCCAAGGGTGTTCCAGCTAACCCAGTATTGCATCCCCTCCAGCTGATGGTGCCCTGACAGTCGGTATGGGGAACTGTGTAGACAACATCCCCACTCACTCCTGCTTTCCTGTCTCCTGAGCTATCCAAGGAGATGATACCCCCACTTCTCCAGGCTGCCTCCATCTTCTCCACTTTGCACAGGGTCATACATGGTTCTGTATTTCACCTCATGTGAATCTTTCCAGCTGATGTACTCAGACAACTATTTTTCCAACAACAACTTTCTTATTAATCATTAACACTCACTGAGCTCTTACCTTTGTGATGAGTACTATTCAAAGGGATAACTAAGAGAGGCATTCACTAGCCTAAAACAGTCCTATAACATAGATACTGTCTCCACTTTCAGATGAGCAAAGAGGAATTAAACAGCCTAACTAACTCATAAGTGGTAACAGCAGGAATTTAAACAGAATCTTGTGACTCCAATCTGCAGACTTACCTGATGTGACAATCCACCAGTTCATAAAGGAGGGGATGGCTGTTCTACATGCAATCAAAATACAACCCAAATATTCAAAGGCTTTTACAACTGAAAGTCACTCACAGACCAAGTTCAGCTTTGTTATTTTATAGACAAGGCAACAGGCACTGAGAGGGGAAGTGACCTGTTCCTGGTCTCGTTCTTCCCTAGCCTAATTGTGCATCTCAAGAAGCAAAGCCTTGCGTTAACTTTGGTCCTTGTGGGGCAGTGGCTGTACATTAGTTTTCCTGGAATTGAATACATTAAACTAATGATTTTATTTGTTGCTGAAGGTCAGGGGTTGGGTGGGGAAGGAGTTGGGGCTGCAAAGTAGAAGCATCAAAGGTAGAACCTGAACTTTTGCCTTAAGTTAGCTTGGCTGTAATAGCAGGCTCAGCATTTACTGTATTGAGGTCATGTCTTTCTGGGTTATAGACTGTCTAATATTTAAATGTTCACTTTAAATTGGCAGCAATCCGTTAAGCTGCACAGCCTCGTGGAGGAGCACAACAAGGTCCAGGTCACCGTCATTGTAAAAGGCAAAGGTAAGTGGTAAGTTTTGCCATCTTTAGCACTCTAACATCTCAGGGTAGAATTGGACTTTTCTGATTGAACCCAGGTAAGGCAAATAAGGCATCTATGATGCACAGTTCAAGGAAGCAAGGTCACACTTGCTGACCTGCAGTGCAGGCCTGATGAGTGAGGGCCTCATTGACCTTTCTACCCTCACTCTTACTCCAGCCCTGATTGAACTGTTTCTACCCAATGTCTGGGTTACTTCAAATTCCCTCTGCCTTCCACATTTTACTCATTTGAATATTACCAGGTAAGCCTTCTGTGGGCTTTTTAGATGTCCTCAACCAACCATCCCAATCACACATTTCCATGGGTTATGCAGAACCCAGGCCTGAATAGGGCTTGTGGGTGGTGGCTGGGCATTTGCTCTGACTGAGCCTGGGATGGGGCGGCATGGCTCTCTGTAAAATGTGAGCAGCTGCACCCAGGACTGCAGGGCTGCCTGGGAGGTTTATACTAGGCCTCAATTCAAGGACAGAGTATACCCCAAGGGGTCAGGAACCTAGCAAAGAGAAAAAGCATCAGCAAAGGGGTGCTCCTCCGTTGACCAACCCCTTGATTATCTTCTGTGGGCAGAGCACCGTGCCAGGCATGAGGATCAAGATGGGATCTTGTTGCAGAGCTATTTCCTTGCTATGGCCCAGGAATAACTTTCCTAATTCTGGTTTCTGGGAATCTGCAGTTAGTGAGAAGGGGCTGGAGCAGGTGAGCCTGGAGTTCTTGGCCAGCAGGTTGATGAGAGTTCTGTCATTTTCATTATTAAGCAAAAACAGGAAAAGTTCAGCCAGTCATGGAAACTTTGCTGTTATGTAGGTTCGCAGGTACTGGAATCCCATCTCCTGGTTCCTGGAGATATTCTTATTCTCCCAGGAAAATTCTCATTGCCATGTGATGCTCTTCTAATTGATGGAAGCTGTGTGGTGAATGAAGGCATGCTCACAGGTAAGCAGTTGTCATGGAGCTGCTTCTTTCCTGTCCAACATCCAGTCTAAGTGTTAGCAAAGCAGATCAATGCACTTACCTGCTTCATACCAGCCTACATGCTAAGATACTGAGAAATAGATGTGGGAGACACACCTGGCCTAATCATGCAGATGGAGATTCAAGATATGCAAAGAGGAAGCATTAAATAATATAATAATCAAGCCACAATACACGGGAAACTAGAAAATCTAATACATGTGGTGAATGGATTGCCTGATGGCTGGGGTGAATAGGGGGCTCTAGTTCAGAGGAGGGTGAGAGCTCTATGCTCTTTCATGTGCAATCTCTTCATAAACATGAGAATGGCTTAGGCACCTATTCAAACAGAACCCAGCCTTAAAAACCACCAGCTCCCACCCTTGGCGGGGTGGACCAGCTCTGCTCTCTGTAAATGGAAACCTGAGCCCCAGGTTTCACTGGGAAGGAGATTGAGTCAAACCTTAGAAAAAGGCAATGTAACAGCTGTGTTCTTTGGAATCGTATTTCCAGTTGATCTCACCAAGCAGAAAGCCAGTTGTGTACTTATGGTTTAAACTGTCCTTGATCTCATGTGTTCTTTGTAAAGTTCCACTTGAATTTGTATAGTTACTAAGGCACTATTTATAAAACGTTCTTCAGGCAACAATAAAAAACCCATACAGTGGCCCCGGAAGATGACTGGTTAGCCAGAGACGGGTAAGATTCCTCAAGGGAGGAACAACCTAAGACAGGCACAGTCGCAGGGGGGGCCATCAGGTGAGAAATTGGGGAACAACAGTGGTGAAGCTTAGAACCTCACCGCCCCCTGTGTTGAGAGAAAGCTTCTGCATCCATGGATGTTTTATTGCCCTTGTCTAGCTCCGATTAGCACATAGTCTACAGGCACACACCTGATCATCTACAATTGCTCTCTTACAATACTAAACTATGTTTTCTACCTTTATCTTGCATCTACCTACCACTTTAGCAGTTTATTAAAAATAAAAATAATAGTAATAATAAAGGGAGAAATGTGGGATCCACATATAAATCAAGTATAAAAATCAAACGAATATTCATATTTGACCTGATTGTTTATAGTTTATAATGCGTGATCAGAACCGAAAGTTTCTGTGATGAATGCCCTTGTACTGTTCACCATGTAAGAACTATTTCACTATGTAAGAATTTGTTCACTATGTAAGAACTTGTTCGTTATGCTTCAGAAGATTGGAGACTGACGAGAATTAGGCTTGAGATGGATTAATGATTGTGCATTGAGTATTGACCCCCCTATACAGAATTTTATGGTTGTTAACAACCATTTGATCAATAAATATGAGAGATGCCCTC